TGCAGGCAGGCTGCTTTGGGGTCCTGAAGATCTCGAGGAAACATCCTGCTCTCTTTCCAGCCATGTTAGATACACATGGAGACCTGAAATGGCAAACATTAGGTCTGCATATCGCAAAGTGGCTTATTGCCGGGCTTTACCTACCAGGTATATGCATCTCCATTTTTACCAGATGCTATAATGTGACCTTCCAATATCTAACAGTTTTATATATTTAAAAACCCCTTTTTCATAAAAATTGTTTTAGCATGAACCTCAACTTCATTACATTTATTGGTAGTCTGAATATAAATATATAAAGTTGGGTGTGTGTGTGTGTGTGTGTACACACAGGATGGTCTTGGCTGTGTTAAGCACATGAATAGGTCTTGCTTCTGTGGTCCAGAGAACCAAGTCACCATTCCCTCGCCCTTCCATTCCCGACATTCTTTCCGATGGAAAGAATCCACCATTGATCCTGGCCTGTCAGCACGGTACACACACACACACACGTTACAGCCATCCAAGCCACCCCACTTCCCAAAACCAGGTCTGCTCATATCTTCACTTTCTCTCATACTCTCATCACCTTTTTTTTTTTTTTTGACAACCTACAAAACCCTATTTAAACCTCTTGTGTTAATATGACAAGCATGTGCGTGCCTGGATGCACTGCTACTGTACACACTGACGAAAACAACATGCTGTTCAGGGCTAAATCACTAATCCTAACAGCTTCTGGACTGTTTAACTGCAGCATTCCGCAATGCCTCCCAAACGTCAACACACCGCTTAGCCTGAAACACTCAAAAAGGCATATTCAAGTGCCAGAGATCATGTCCATAATTAAAAGACAATATATAAATACACTGAGCCCTAAGGTAAATACGAAAGCATGGTATTTCTTCTCATTATCGTGTGGTGAAAATTGCAAACAAATTAAATGGAAATAATCTACAGATTGACTGAATTCTATTCTGCAGGTTTCAGGACTTGTGCGCAACACAAATTCATTACTGTGTTTTTTAATTGCACACCGCATCATTCAGATGAGAACAAGTGGTGTGTTTTTAAAGCCAACTTTAGAAATATCACCCCCTAGTGACAGTACAAGTTCCATGATTTGTGAGTAGGAACCATAGACAGTGATGCACTGAGAGGTCGTTAAACAGGAGCTGTGTTAGGAGGACTGCTCTGTGCTCCATGATCATTCCCTGTTTGTTTCCTGATTTGTACGTTTAATTTCTGACTTTTTTTTTTTAGTGAAATAGAAGATACGGAATAAGCTGGATGTCTGAGTGCAAGCCTACAGTTCATCTCAGCATATATTTGTTTCGGTTCCTGTTTCACTCTACTATAATTTTTGAATCACGTCAAGCAGACTTTTGCACATACCCATCAGCTGCTAACGTGCTAATTGCACCTTGTTAGTAAATGTATATATACACTCACCTAAAGGATTATTAGGAACACCTGTTCAATTTCTCATTAATGCAATTATCAACCAATCACATGGCAGTTGCTTCAATGCATTTAGGGGTGTGGTCCTGGTCAAGACAATCTCCTGAACTCCAAACTGAATGTCAGAATNGACTGAGGCATCGCGGGAGCAGAGTGTGACTTGTTCTTAGACCACGGCGTTCGTGAACGGCAGGCATCACTGTACAGTATGACCAAAAGTATGTGGTTCACCCAACATCAATATCCAACCTGGATGACAGCATATCCCACCCGCCATATGTTACATCCCCTGCATGTTCTGCAGTGCATGTTCTGCAGTGCATGTTCTGTTTCTTATCTGTCCGTGTTTTGTTCTATTCCAGGCCAGGCTCCCTACGCTAATTGGTGGGATGTGCCGGCGTGTGAGGCGTGTCCAGAACGATTGGATAAAGGGGCCTGGTCTGTGTACCAGGGGGAGGGGGAGCTGTTGTGTTTCTGTTGTATTTTTGTTTCGTCGGTTGAAAGTTCTTTTTGGTAAAATCATAATGTTATAAACCCCTAGACGTCTTGAACTTGGCCGCTGCCTCTCCTGCACTTTGTTGCTGTTTTGAGCCAATGGTGACACAATGGTGACACAATGGTGACACATGCTCCAGCATCTTATGGGAGTGTTCGTTGTTGTCTTTTGCTGATCAGAATTCTGTTGTTTTTTTCTGAGGTGTTATCCAATAGAACGGTTAGGCATGTGCTAATATTGTAATTTTTCCATTGTCTTTTTTCGTTTATTCTTGTTCATATATAACCTCCACTGCAATTTAAACACTGTCTGTTGCACTTAATCCAGTACACTTTGTGTCTTGAATTTTTTCTGCATGTATTAATAACAAGAATAGAAACACTACTGTGTTGACTAAGTTACCTGAACCATATATACACACACCTTAAAAATCTTTGAAATTAAATAGAAATGTAATGCAAAAATGTAACAATTATAAGGCTAAATTAATATTGTTCATAGTTTTTGCACCATCACGTCACGACGAAATAAATACATCTATCAATTTTCTAAAACCGCTTATCTTATTCAGGGTTACAGGGGGTCCAGAGCCTATCCCAAAGGCTATGGGCACAAAGCAGGGAACAACCCAGGATGGGGCACCAACCAAGCACAAGGCACACACAACACCATTCACACCTACGGACAATTCAGTAAAATTCCAATTAGACTTAGCATGTTTTTGGACTGGGGGTGGGGGTGGGAACTGGAGTACCCGGAGGAAACCCCACAACGGCACAGGGAGAACATGCAAACTCCACACATGGAACACTGGTGGAAACTTGAACCCAGGTCCCAGAGGTGTGAGGCGACAATGCTAACCACTGCACCACCCCACAACAAAATAAATAGGTTAGTAGGGTCATTCGTATATTCTTTTATTCTTAAATGACAGGTTAATGTAGTTCATGCTCATTAATATAAGCCAGGCCAAATGCATAGCCCAATTTTTAATGTGTAAGGAGGGAGTCCCTGCTCTGTCTCTCTATCCACCATGGAGTCCCTGCTCTGTCTCTCTATCCACCATGGAGTCCCTGCTCTGTCTCTCTATCCACCATGGAGTCCCTGCTCTGTCTCTCTATCCATGAAACAGGTTGAAGGCCCCTTGCAGGCCAATATCATCTATGTAGGGAGCTATAGGAAAGTCAGGGACACAGTAGGGGCATGGATAGTCTGGTGAATGTAGCATCAATTACATCATCAAATTTGCTTGTGATACTACAGTAATTAAAACTACAGGAGTGAGGTGGCAGGTCTGGTGGAGTGGTGTAGTGACAAGAACTCACCCTACGCACCACTTACACATAGGAGGTCACTGTGAACTTCAGGAAGCACTTTAGAAGTCACCCAACAATCACCACTGATGGACATCTAGTGGGCACTTATGGATCGAAAGGTAGTAGATGAAGAATCCCGGGTCCATCCTCACCAAATCCCATCAATGACTTCAGTTTCTAAGACACCTGAGGAAATGGGTGTGAGTGAGGCACCACTTAGCAGTTACTACTGTAGTACCACTGAGAGTATTATTACCAACAGTATCAGGGAATGGTATGGTGAAGCCATAAAGAAAAAAGTACCGATTTATACTTGTCAGTGGGGCTGTACCCTCAAGGGTCTGCCAATTGTACCCTAGTTGTAGATAAATGTACCTTTTAAGGTACAGAAATGGAAGGAACACTTCGCTCTATTGGGGGTACATTAATTGTACTAGGACTGTGCCCTTTTTTTCTTACAGTGTGTGACGAAAGATTGCGATCACAGGAACTTAATTCCCCTCCATCGATCAGCTGCACCATAACCGCTGCTGTTATAAAGTCCAGTCAATAATTCAGGACCCTAGCTACTGTACTCCCACCACAAACCATTCACAATACTGCACTCTGGAATGAGGTTTTGCAGCATTAGAACACTGACCACCTGACTCAAGAGCATCCTCAAGCCATTTTAGGCCATTCCAGTTTCCAACATCTGCATTTTCCATAACAAGCATGTTGGTGGCACTCTATAGACCAGGATTCTCCAACTCCGGTCCTGGAGAGCTACTATCCAGTAGGTTTTCTGTCCCACTTGGCTTCTGATGAGCCACACCTGTTCCTGGTATTTACCTGAGAACAGGTGTGACTCATCAGAAGCCAGGTAGGATAGAAAACCTACTGGATAGTTTAGTTGTTGAATTTGAGCTCGATTTTCTTATGCACAGTTGAAACGCTGTGAAGTCTATTGCATCTGTTCTATGTAATTGGAGACCCCTGCTATAGACCTTTTACTGCACTTCTTCAGCCACAGACTACATATTGTTCCCTTTTGCCCTATTTTGTATTGTTTTTGCACTTACTTGCATTGATTTTCACGGCTTTGTATTGTTTTGCGTTATATCTTACAGTTTTCCACCACCTGTATTGTTTCGTACTGTCCTTAAACTTTTATAACGGAGTGAGGCTGAATGACTAAGCATTCTCCTGCCGCTGTTGCACATTGTTGATAAAGATCTTTAATCTTGAAGGAACTAGGTTGTATCTTTACCATAAAATGTTTCAAGGTCGCACTACTAACATTCTTTGTATTTTGGCTGTATTAACAACCGGAAAACTGGTTCCTGTTTAATTTCGCTTACATTAATAGAGTAGTTCCCGACTGTAATATTCATTATCGCTTAACAGAAAGCATTTGTTAGTTGTCGGATTGTATTGTGAAAATCAAATCTGAGACATAATTTTAATGTACAGGGGTTGTTCAGACCAGCAGGGAAAAAAGAATGGAATGAGTGTTTTGTCCCGTACGTTCCGCAGACATGTGCAAAGGAGGAATGACTCAATGAATGTCGCCTACATTAGGTATACGGCTGCATGGAAGTTGGAAGATGCTTTTCATTTTCCTGAATGAACGTGATATCACTGTTTGTGATTGGCTAGCCGGCACCGCGCACGCCCCTTGCCATTGAAGAATTTCCAGGCTCTTGCGCTGACGCACTAGGCCACGCCCCTCCTTAGAAATCATTCTGTCCGCACGAGGTATCGGAGCTTGCCAGCGTTGGAAGCGCGCGCTGATTGTCTGCGCTGCACGTTTTCTGCATCATTAAATAATTGGTAGATTGATTTGCTCGTGTGTTTCGCATCATCGTAAGATTTTCGCACGGAATTTGTCATCGGGCTAAGAAGTGCTCGTCAAGGAGTGGTGACGGCTTTCCACAAACAATTTAAGCTGACCAAAGCACAGGTGTGACTTTATGTCTGCGTTTTACTCTGAAGTGGTACGTATCATTAGTCTACTGGCGCCGTATTTTTAAAAAAATATCTTCCATTAAAAATACAACCACATCTTGTCAATCTCATAATATAAGCCCAATGACTGAGACGTTTTACGATCGTACGTTACAGCAGGTTGGCAGATGTTTACATTCCCTTTATTGAGAAGCTGCATTTCAGTGCGCTATATCAATGATTCAAGCTGCAAAAATCTAAAAGAGCTGTAATGAACACGAGGGGGGTTGGGGAGAGTGTTAGATATGTTTGTCCTTAAATTGACCTTTGTTTTAATATACGAAGGGCTATATTACGCAGAGCGATGTCAAATACAGGGGAAAAATTGGGTCCAAGACTGAAATTTTGGTATCCATTTAAAAAAAAAAAAAACCGCTTGCCTGTTGTGTGCATTTATTTTTGCGTATATCTCATTTGGAGAACTATTGTTTTGCTGTCTTGGGGAGTTGGTAATTTAGTAATGTAATTACATTTGTAAAAAATCTGCCGAATCATTTACCCCCATGAATGCATTTTTTCTTCTAGTTCTGGTTCACAGACGGTTTAGTTGTTGAATTTGAGCTCGGTTTTCTTATGCACAGTTGAAACGCTGTGAAATCTATTGCATCTGTTCTATGTAATTTACATTCAGGTTTTCAGGTCGCTTTTATGAAAACGCACGTGACCAGAGAAATCCAGATTATACCAGTAGATTCTTTTGTGGCTTTGAGTCTAACTCATGGTTACATCATACATGTGTGTTTAGGGCATAGAATTGTATACCGGCTGGGAGTGCGGCTCCAACGCTTTGACAGCCCATTTTATCGAATGACTGACTGACACATGCAGGCTGAGCTCTGCTGGCTTGCGTCTCACCTGCGGTCCATATACTGTAGCTGATTGCTCAATGGTTATTTTAAACATCTTGTCTCCTGCGGAATTTTTGTCCACCTCTTCTGTTGTGTTCAGTTTCTGTATTAGTAGGCCTACAGGAATTGTACTTTGTGCTCATTGCTGGTTATGTCACTTATGACATGTTTAATATTGACCTTTTTAGCCTAGATGTTAATGTATGAGACATACATTAATGTTGCCGTTCCTACATGGTTTTTAGAGTGCGCTTTTCCCATAATAGAGATGATATTTTAGATGCATGCTGGATTTTCTCCCCAAATTGTGTAGAGAGAGAGAGAGAGACTTTACATAGCTTATGGTAGTATAGTAAACTATCACCTCAGCTACATTCTATTGGTACTGTAGATGTCAGTGATAGGCTGCTCTTTAAGGTTGGAGAGAAGTGTCATCAGTGGAGCGTAAACTGAAGCAGGCCTGTCTGGATGGTGCCGTCTCTGCTTCCGGCTGTCCTGACAGTGGGGGGCGCTATCCTCATGGATGGCCTCTTCTCATCTCCATACTACTGGGGTTTGTTGGCAAGATGTAGTAAATACTGGGTATTAAGAAAATGGTGCTTTATCTGACATTTTAATCCAGTGGTTCATCTAGAACATCTGCTGTGCATTGTAATATTGTAGCAGAATTTGGAAAGCTGAAGTGCAAAGAATATATGCTTGAATTTTGATTTGTTGTAGTTCAGCTTGGTGTCTGCGAACTTGTTTTGGTGGAAATCCTGGAATTTCTAGATTTGTCGCTTGAATAATTTGATATGGTTGTCCTGTAGCAGTGTGGGTACTGTGGACAGTACTGGTGTTCTCATGTTCAGCACTACCAGGAATATGGTCATTCACTGATGAAAGTAGCTGTTTAGACAAATGTAGAAATCGGGGGATGCAACATCAAAGTCCTTGCACTTTATCCATTTTTTTTGTGTGTTTTTCCTCCCCTTCTGAAATATGCCAGGTGGTGTATTAATAGACCCAAATAAATCATGAATGCCAGTGTAATCGATGTGCAGTGTCAGTGCTGCTATGCTGAACATTGCCATTGAGTCTGTTGGCGTTAATGCTGCTTATGGCAGTCATTTTCCTTTTCTTTCTTAGGTCCCATCATCACAATGGACATTCTGGCTTTGAATGACTACATTTCTTACAATTCTAACTTGCAAATCAATATTGGCAAACTTGTCGCGGTCAAGGAACAATTGCTATTACCAAGGAAAGGAAGTACTCACACTTGTCCTGGGGGAAAAGTTATTCATATGTATACTGCTGTGTTCAGATTTTGTTAGATTTTTTAAATAGCATATTCCACTGTTGGATTGTTTATAAATGTTTCATTTTTATTTTCATTTAAATGCTGCTTTCTTGTACGTATGCTGACTTAATAGTGAAGTATACAAAGCCTTCCTATGACCTGACACCAGTTCAGTTACACTATTGATTCTGACTCTGTTCACTTTACAGGGCTCTCTGACAGGCTTGTAAATGTTCCCCATCTGTTACTGAGGCTGTGTCTGTTCTATGAGCGTCTGTATCCCCATCCTGCCTGAATGACCAGCTGTGTACCATATATTGCAAAATAGGGAATGGAGATGAGTATGAAGGATTTACGTGCAGATTAGAGGGTAGCCAGTGGCAGCATTGTACTGTAGATTACACCTAGTGATCAGATAATCATCCCTCTAAGTCCTTGGGGGGGGGGGGGGGGAGACTTCATACTGTAACCCTAAGTGGAACTGGCTGTAACCCCCTACATGTGAACCCCTTTTGGACGGCTGCTCGCTTGCCAGCACTGGGCATTTCTGAGCTGTGTGTGTTGGTGAAGCAGAATTCTTACTAATCCCACTCTCTGGATTTGCTGTGGCAGCTCCTTATCCCTGGCTGGCAGCGATGACTGAGATGATGACCAGCACTGCCATGGAAGACATGCATCTTGGTGCCAACCAAGACAGGAACTCCTACCAGGTGCAGCCATCCGTGGGTCACATGGTTTGCTGCAAGTTTGTCTGTTTCAAATGTGCCACAGGCTTGATCCCTATACTGTCCATTTTGCATAGGAAAACTCGAGTTTAATTTGAAGCATGGTGCCTTTAAAAGTTTGACATGAATCCTCATGAAAATTGTTCCAAAATACCTGCTGCATCCTTTTTTGCATCCCTCTCTGAGCTGCATGACTTTGTTGCACATGTGGGGTCTCATGCTCCCACCCGCAATTTCCATTTTTTGATGTGAAAGGTGCTGATTTTTCTCCTAGTTAGTCTGGTCTCTGGAACCTGCAGTACAGTATGGAAATCATTACCTGAGGCTTTCTGGTGACAGACCTTTAAGGCCTCCACTGCTTTCTCTCCCCAGATCTTCCCTGACCCCACAGACTTTGAGCGGTGCTGCAAGCTGCAGGAATGCCTGCCCTCCATCGTGGTGGAGCCCACAGAGGGTGAGGTGGAGAGCGGGGAACTGCGCTGGCCTCCAGAGGACTTTTTGCTTTGTGAGGAGAGCAAGGAGAAGAGGGAATGCAATGGTGGGCAGCTGTGCTCTAACTCTCCGCAGTAGCGGAGCTGTATGCTCTCCATCTCTCTCCCTTCTTTCCTCTGTCCTCTCCTCTGGTGCTTGAATGTGCTGGTTCATGCATCACAGCACATGGAAACTTCCAGTCCTTTTAACCCTGGCTTGGCTTAGGTTCAGACTTTGCCATGCAGTCAAGTTCATTGTGTATAACACCCCCCACCCACCGCGAACAGGCACATGCACAACTTGCTCTCTGATTTAAATGTCAAATAGATGTAACATGTTTGCATTTGACTTTAGATGGAAATCCATGTGCTATACAATAGAACATCGGTGTTAGGTTCCTTTCAAGAGGCAAAACATTCAGCCTCTTAAAAGATGTGACCAGAACAGGTTCTTTCCCTAAGCTGTTTCAGGACTACAGAAATCCTGTTCACTGTGAGTAGTGATGTGGCTGAAATGTCATTGCAGTTTAGACATTGTGTGAATGTTGTCACATAGAAATTGGATGCTGTTTTAAATTGTCCTCAATTTATGTATTTTTCTTTTCCTCTGAGATGGTGGGGGGGGTGCAAGAATAGTTTAAAATGCCCAGAAATAGTGATGTGCAACCATGCATTTTCATGTGCTGATCTGTATATGTGTATCGTATGTCACTTAGGATTTGAATAACCTCTTTGGAGAATATGTAGTTGGCTAAGGAAAGCTTCAGAATTCACAGTGACTTGGCCAAGGTTAAGATCCACTAAAAGTGGCCCAAACTAACATGACCTGAACTGGGCTTCAGTCTTTTGAATTGTGATGTAGAATTAATAGATGCTCTGTCTTGTCTGCCTCTTTTCTAGCTAAATCTTTTCTTTTGGGGCTGTAGCTTTGATAGTGTTACTGTTCAAGGCTGTAGTCAGGGTAGCTGCAGGTCCATCACAGGACACACACTC